TAGTAGTAGTAGTAGTAGTAGAAAGTTTGAGTTTCTACTCCTTATTGGGTTTAAGCACCCAGAAAACATGTTACCCAACTGTGGCAAAGGCTTGGGGTACCTTTCATGCTTTGTTTGGAGGCTCTAGGAACTCCTTTAGGGCTTTCTTTCGAGGTTGTAGGGTACCGCTAAGGCTTTTTATCCTAAGGTTGTAGGATTTCTTTTCGGAGCGAATTGAAAAGGCTTCAGGCCTTCCTTTCTGAACGATTTTAAGGCTTTAGGGTTGCTTTCTGATCCATTTTGAAGGCTTTAAGGGCTCCCTTCAAGGCTTTACGAGCTCTTTCAAGGGTTCTTTGACCGGTTCCTTTAAGGGACCCTTTCAGGGGTTCTATAAGTTCACTTTATGGCTCCTTTAACGGATTCTATGAGAACTTATGGCGCATCAAGGTGATGGAACCATTGTAAGCCGTGTCATTACGGTAGACGTCAGCGAGAAGAAACATGTGTAAACATAACGGCATAAATCGCTAATTTCATGCAGGAACACAACGGGGACAAATGCCGACGATGTCACCTGAACAGTGTTTCAAGTCATAAGCCGTGTTCGTCAGCGTCTTTGTCATAACGGTGGCCGGAGTATCCATGATGTCAACACATGTCGCTTACTCAGAATTAACAAGCATGTTTCTAGTCACGATCGCTTCAAGTCATCCTGGCTGGATGGATGCATATGTCCCTGCACCTACTGCTGCACCCAGGACCAGGAAAACACCTCCACTACGATGAAGATGGTAACTCCGATAGTGACTATGATCGTGATGGTGATGATGATGGTGACTTTGATGCAACTGATTTTTTGCTACTGATGATGGGTGTGCATGTCCGTCCGTCTTCTTCTCTGACTGGGGTACCAAGTGGTGTCATGGCAGCCCACTGCGTTTCCCACTATGATGATTGGACAATGCAATGAAGCCCGAAACAATGAACCCCAAAACACCCCCAAAACCACTGAGACAAACACCCTGAATCCCTCAACTCCAAACACCCCCAAACCCACCCCAAATCCTAAACCCTAAGCCCGACTAGACCCTAAACCCTAAACCCAAGCCCCCCCCCCCCCACCAAAAGACTATGGAAGCACAAGCTGCAGTGGAGCACTTCCGGATGCAGACCTGATTGCAGTTTAGGGTTTAGGGCTTAGGTTTTAGGGTTTAGGACTCTGAGCAGCCTCTGAAGTAGAGGTCGCAGGGTGTAGGGATTACTCACGGGGGTTTAGGAGTTTAGGCAAACCCTAACCCTGAACCCCTAAACCCCTAAACGTTTAGGGTTTAGGGGAGCTCAGGGTTTAGGGATCTTTGGATCCGCAAGGGTTTTGCTTTTAAGGGTTTTGGAGGAGTAGGGGAGTTTAAGGGGTTCAGGAGTTCAAGGTTTAGGGGCGCTTTAGGGGGATGAGGCTTCATCTGATTTAGGGGCGGCTTGGGACTTAGGGCTTAAAGTTTAGGGTTCGAGCGCTGGAGTTCTTAAGAGGTTTTGGGTCAATATGGCGGCCTTAGCATTAAGAACAGGGTTTTGGGGGTATGTCATATAATAAAGATAATAAGGAGCCCTCCAAAGTAGTATTCGTAATTACTAACTCCCCTCTATTACAGCGTTTTATCTTTGGCATTTACGGCCAGCCACATGTCAAATCTGAAATTCGGTTGCAAAGCATGCTTACAAAGGAAATCATCTTGAACCCTAAACCCTCAGCCCCTAAACCCCTAAACCCTAAACCTAAGTCGTGTCAACACGGCTTGCGGCCTTGAAACCAACCCTTTCAAGCCTCTGAAGCCCTAGACCCAAACCTGAAAGCCTAAAACCCCAAAGCTCCACGCCCTAAGCTCTAACCCCTCCTTTCAACAAGCGGCGAGAGCGGTCGATTTCCTTTTGCAGATCAGACCCTTACTCTCGCAAAGCGTGAGCATGGAGTCTTGATCGATGTTACTGGGCGGCGGCGGCTCAGGTTTTCTGAAAAGGTTGGGCTCTGCGCTATATATATATATATATATGATACTAGGGCCAGAAGTATACAGGGACTGTAATAGACGTTATAGAAATCTACATGGGGTATACTATGGCTGTTCACGTAAGAACAAGGTGGGACTACGGACTCTTTAAGCTGAAGAGGAGTACTAGAAGGGAGTATTAATACTATGGACCAGTTTTGGGCCAAGGGCGATCTTCGGACAAAAGAGTTTGGGTTGGGGTTTAGTTTAGGAGTTTAAGGGTTAGGGGCTTCCCTGTTGCAGAGACGACGGGTGCTACAATGTGACGCTTCAGCTGTGGACACTGAAACCCAACGGCAACCTGAAACAGAATTTCTGCGTGAACAACAGTGCGTCGTCGTTTGGGGTTTGAGTGCGCCATGGTCATGAAGAAACACTGTACATTGCAGATACCCGCGACCAACGATCCCAAACTTACAGCCCCTGAGCCCTAAGATAAACATGCCTGAAAACTAGGATCGGGACCCGGAAGCCCAAAATCAACAAACCGGGGTATGCTGCCCTGCTGCGCTCCCTTGGAACACATAAGCAAGCAGGGTCGGAAGTTCGAGATTGCATCCCCGAACCTGAAGCCTCTTCTCAGCTTTAAGCAGAAGCCCAAGGAAGCACCAAGAATCAGGCCCAAGAACGACAAGCAAAAGAGCCCTAAACTCTAAGAGCCCCAGAATCCGGAGCACTTTAGACCCGAAGCCCCTCAAGAACTCCACCGATCAGCTGTTGTGGGCTTTTGATAGCCCAAATCAAAGAGAAGGGTTCTGAATCGGTGCAGAGGCCTGAGTAACTAGACCCCGGTTCTGGTGTGGGGTCTAGTAAAATTTGAGTCTACTGGGTAAATTCTAGCCAAAATTCGGACCCCTAAATTAAGCTTCCTAAAGGCTCCAATCGAAATAGAGTACTGAACCGCGGTCGAAGACTACTTGCTGACTAGGTCGTGCCGTTTTCATAGAAAGCTCCTGATCATAACCGAAACCTCAATCTCTGTCCATGCCGAGTATCTTTATCATGATCCTCAGGACATTCAGCGACGACAAGCAGTCGTCGTGGCCACTTTTCGATGCTTGTTGGCAAATTTCTTTCTGCGTGTGTAAGGCACGACCTGCAAAGGCGCTCAACAAGTGGCCCCTAACATACCTAAACATCGAGCTCCTGGCTTGGGGTATGTTTTTCCTTTTGACATGGAGGGGGGGGAGCTGTGTTAGCAGAAGCGGAGGCCTGTAAGGTGTAAGGGGGATTCCGGAAAGCCCTCTGAGCAGGCCAGGAGTTGCACTTAAGGCTTTGGGTTTCAGATCTCTCCTTGGGGTTTTGGGTTGAAGGCCTTAAGGCTCAAACCCTGAACCCTAAACCGTAAACCCTAAACCTTAAACCCTAAACCCCTAAAGCCGTAAGGCTTAAGGTTTTAGGGCTTTTTGAGCTTCTGGGGCATCTCCTTGGAGGCCGAAAGTGCATGGCTGCTTAGTGCAGTTTGGAGTTAGCCGAGAAGCTCCGGAGGCTCAACAAAACCCCTTGTTAAACGGGTAGTTTTCTAAATGAGGGATAGGGTTTATAGGGTTTAGGTCGTTTTCTAAATTAGGGTCCCTTTTAGGGTCCTTTTTACCAAGGGTGCCCGTGCTATATTGGGGACCTACTAGGGGACCCTAATTTAGAGAACTACCCAAACCCCTATGCCCCCGAAAGCCCTAAATTGAAACTCCCACAGCCTAAATCCCCTGGTCTCCTGGGGCCCGACCTGCCGGCGAGGTGGCGCGCACGTCATGGATCAAGTTGTCCATCTCCTGGCGGATTGCTTGTGTTTGATAGAGTCTTCGGCTTAAATAACTTCAATATTCACTGTGAGATTCCAAGCTTTCAGGGCTTAGGGACTATGGCTCCAAATCTGGACTTTGGGACATAACATGGTGTAAGAAACCTGTGATCCCTCATAGAGCCCCATGAGAGCAGATAAAACCTTTCTGGCACACTTAGCCGCTGCTCCTTGGTGTAGTTGTTAAGGCACCTACACTACCAATCCTCCCCCAATCCTCCCTCCCAACGGTATGTGGCGGGATCTGGGGAAATGTCGGCCCTGGGCTTCGGGGCGGACGGTTTACGGTTAAGCGTTTAAGGATCCGAAGCCTAAGCATCCCCCAACAACCACCTTCTACACCGATTCTGCACGCATCAAAGATGTCCTAAATGAGCTTACTACATTCGCCAAGAATCTGACATAAACCCTGCTTCATATTTTCTTGAAAGCGGGGTTTCGCTCGAGTCGGGAAGAGGGCGCGCGAACCTCAGAATTTGTGCTGGGCATGCCGGCTTCGGAAGGACACGTGCCTAGGCCTTGAATACGAAAGGAACCAGATACCTTCCAACCCTTTCTTCCCTCAGGTTAAGCGTATGATGAATCTTGCACACCGGGGGTATTCCGAAAGACCCCAATATCACTTGCGACGGAAAATGTGCCCAAGGTAGAACTGAAACTTGTTCACTCTCAGAATCCCCGGGCTCTACAAGACCCTCTACACACCTGGAAAATCCTCTGTAGGCCCAACTAATTGAGGGATACTAGAAATCTGTGCAAACCCTAAACCCCAAAACCCTCACCATTTTTCATTGATCCGATACCCTCAACCCGCAGTTGAACTAAAGATTCTTGCAAAGGATCCCTACACCGAAAGGACACCGTTAAAGACATCCATGGCTTGTCCAAGGAAATCCAACACGCAAAACTCCAAACCCCAAAGAAACGCCGCGCTCTAAACCCTGAAACCTCTAAACCCCTAAACCCTAAACCTTAAAACCCCTGCCCAGACCTGGACGGAGAAGCTGCCCTTGCTCAGTTCATCGTAGTTTGTCAGCCGCTCCTGCCGGCGGAGGATGTCTCCCAAAACGGCTTCTGATAGGCAAAACCCTAAACCTTCAACCCAAAACCCTAAGCCCTAAAGCCTCAAACCCAAAAGCGGATGTAGGTTTTGCAGTTCAGAATCAAGGCTTTGGGCTTGAGGGCTGAGGTTGCGCGCTTCAAGAGATCGAAGATGGCTGGGAAGCCGTACAACTTACACCCAGGGTTCAGGGTTTAGGGTTTGGGGTGTTGGCGTTTGGGGCTTGGGGTGTAGGGGTAGGGTTTAGGGTTTGGGGTGTAGGGGTTTAGGGTTGAGGGTTCTCGGGAAGCAAGCCTCCAAGAATAGGGCTCTCGCTTGGAACTGATAGGGCGAACAGTTGGTGATATATCTCCGTACAGCACCTCCATCAAAACCACTTTAGTGCACCCCAAAGCTCTGTTTTGATGCTTCAGGCCTCGATACTTATCTTGACAAAGAAAGATGTGTCTTGCCTTCCGCCGCTCTAACTTTCTGCAGGACATGAAATACCACGAGACGACACCTGCAAGTGTCGGAAAAATGCGACACCTAAGCAGGGAGCCTGTGTCTTACGAAACTCTCGCCAAGCTGAGCAGCAGCTGCAAGCCTTCCCGAAGCCCTAAACCCTAGCCCCAATCCTCAAACACTACACAAGCATTGTCTCAAGCAGAAGGCCAGAAAGAAGCTTCACCAGTCTAGTTTTGCCGGATCTCGAAGCGAGACCAACATCACCATCTGTAAACCCAACACACTAAACCGTAGCTCATGCCGAGAAACGGATCATGAGGTCGAAGATGACGGTTCAGGACGTAAGGTTTGGAGCTGAGAGTCGGAGGGACATGACTCCCCTGGAATAGCTCATGAAGACAGCCCTTACCTTACCTTACCTTACCTTAATCTAGCTATCCTTCTGTCTGTCTGTCTGTCGTCTGTATGCATGTGCATGGCTTTCGGCTATTGGGACTGCCGATGGTTCGGCAAACGGCGTTTGATATTTCTGCCGCTCCCAAAAAGGAATACTTGGAAACGGAAACCCTAAACCCTAAGCCCTAAACTCAAGACAAACATGGCATTCGGGGTCTAAGCCTGAGTCGAAGCCCTACGCCTAAAACATTTAGGGCGAGAGATCGAGTCCGGTCCTGCAGCTCTACCACGATTTCCACTTATACCTTTTTCAAGGGTTTAGGGTTTGGGGTTTAGAGTTTGGGGTTTAGGGGTCGTGTGCTCCCTCTTCGTGGGTATTCGTGCATGAGGCTGCAACCACCTAAGCCTCAATTTCAGCGTACATCCCACAAGCACTATCTTGACACAGCCAAGGCGCTCCTGCCAGTGTGGTGGGTGGGTGGGTGGGTGGGTGGGTTAGCAAAAACAGATACCCTTTTAATGAGCTTCAAAAGGTTCACAATGATATAAAAAACATCATGTTGAGAAAGGACATACATAACCAACCAGCCAACCAACAAAGAACCCAGCTAGCTAGCTAACCGGCTCCCCTACTAAGTAACGAGCGACTGAACCAACGAAACGAAACTAAACCAAACCAAAACGAAACTAAACCAAACCAAGCTAAGCAAACATAAGCTAACCTGAGCCCGCAACACTAAAGCGCATGCAACCCAAAACACAAACAAGGAGGCACACTGGCTTCATAACAAACCTAAACTAAGGAACTTAACCAAACTAACCTAACCTAACCTAACCTAACCTACCAATCAACCAACCAACTGACTGACTGGCTGCCTGACTGACTGACTAACTACCTGACCTAAGTAACTTGCTTACCCAACTAGTGGACTATGAATAGCTCATGGCATCTCCTCCAATGTAGCCCGGGTCTCTCCCGGCGCATGGCAGTTGATGTTCCTGCCAACGGACGGCAGCGGCTGCGGTGTAAGCGCGAGAACTTGAGGTGCCTTGAGCCCTCAAAACCCTAACCCCTAAAACTTGTCGCGCGGTGTGAGTTTTGCGGCTTCTGCAACATAGCAGACCGAACAGCCAAGCCAACCTAGCTGCGGCTATATTGGCCTAGACGAGAGCGAATGTCATACTGTTTCGGCACCAGTGTCCAGCACATGCCCCATGAGCCCCCAATCATTCTGATGGTGTGGAGCCTAATTCCCAAAGCACTCCTGAAAAAATTTAAATCCTCATCCCCCCAACCCTGAAAAACTCGAAACTTGAACCACGACTTAACCCTGAGCTAACCTAAACTCTACACCCCTAAAGCCTGAGCCTGAACCCTAAACGCCCCCCCCAGGCCCGAAGCTGCGCTGAGCCGGGCCCTTGAGACCTCATTGAAGCAGCAGCCAAGTTGCAATGCGTAGTTCTTGGAATATGTCTCACCTTGGTCGGCTTGGGGCCCCGATTCCAGGTTCCTGTAAAGGCATTTTTCTGGGGTTTCCACAAGGGTCTTATCGGGCTTAGGGTTTGGCGTTCTAGTCAGGGTGCAGGGTGGAGGGGTTCGCGAAGGTACGTATCACGAATCCTTAGGAGACAAACTCCCGAAACCGGTCCTGCAATAAACGACACTGGCAAACCGCACAACCAGTAAGGCCCTACTAAAAGTCCTCAACCACACCACCCTAAAACTAAACCCTAATTAAGGCCCGAAAGCTTGAAAAGCACAAGTCTAACGGAATTCAGAAGCCCTCCCAGAAAGCATGGATTGCGTCTTCAAGCCATGAAGCCCATACCCAATAAGGCTCAAAAACATTCATCCTAAACCCTAGCTAAAATTCCAATTCTCTAAACAGTTAGTATCTTAAGTCCTGACCACAGCCTGATTCCAACAAATCCCCAAAACGCCCTATGTAGCCTCACACAAAAGCCCCACTGTGTACCCTGAAACACGAACCCCAATCACGTCCGGAAACATCCAAAAACCCTGAGGCCAAAGCCCCCAAACCACAGCCCTAAACCCTAAACTAACTTCAGGAAGCCCGTAAAGGAACACCTAAAGGCACGCTTGAAGGAAGCAGCCTTCAAACTTGAACTCTAAGCCAAGAGGCAAAGGCCGAGTAGGTCTTCATCTGACAACTCCCTGGGCCAAAAGCAAAGGGTTCGATTTTTTCCTGTCCGTTCGGATGATTCTTCGCGCTTTCTAGGCTTTTTGAAGTGTTTCTTTCAGGGTAGTAGTAGGTTCAGGTTAGGCTTTCAGATTTCTTTAGGCTTTATGTCAGGGTACTATAGGGGTGAGGGTCCAGACTTTCTTCAATGTTATGGGTCGAGGATCTCAGTCCCGACGGACTTTCCACAAAAAATCTAAACCAAATGGAACCAAACATCAAACAACAAGAACGACGAAAACCATTGTATTTGCGACACTTCCTCAGCCACACACCAAAAACATACCAAACACATGAACAATCTTTGCATTTTCTGAAACAGCCATACAACCACGAATGACGCACCCTCCGTGGCGGCAGACTTGTCCACAACCTTATTATCGTTCTTGTTGTTGTCGTTGGTATCGTTGTTAATGTCTAGTAGTAGTAGTAGTAGTAGTAGTAGTAGCAGCAGCAGTCGTAGTAGCAGTCGTAGTAGTCGTAGTAGTCGTCGTCGTCGTAGTAGTAGTAGCAGCAGCAGGAGGAGGAGGAGTAGTAGTAGTAGTAGTGGCAGTAGTAGTAGTAGTAGTAGCAGCAGTAGTAGTAGTAGTAGGAGGAGGAGGAGGAGGAGTAGGAATAGGAGTAGGAGTAGGAGTAGGAGTAGGAGGAGTAGTA